GGAGGTGGGCGGACGAGCAGGGCAGGATCAGATTCAGGGCTCATGCCCTGCGCAGGCCCCTAGCTCCTTGTGCCTGGTCTCGCAGGAGGGCACAGAGGCCGGAAGCACCAGCTCCCAGGCCAGGGCAGAGGTGCTGGAGATTGTGACCCTGGAGAGGGGGCTCTGCCTGGTCTGGACCCAGCAGTGGGAGGAGGGGCCCCGCATGGTGGGGGCTTGTTTCTGTTGCACAGAGTTCCTCCCTGGGGCAGAAAGAGCTGAGCCCAGCAGACTGAGGTCACGTCTGCCCAGTGACAATCCTCCCACTGTCCCTCTGTGGGGACACACAGTGCCCTCCTAACCCCCCCTTAACTGACCTCCTCGGTGCCTGTGAAAGCTGAGTAGAGCAGTGGATGGGGATCCCCTGATGGCAAAGATGGCAGGAACAGAAAAAGAAGCTACGATGTAAGAGGTACATCTTCACATCTACATGTGAAGTGGAGAGGGGCCCAACTCTGGGGCCCTCTCAGCTGAAAGTGGAGAAATTTAGGGATCATCTCAGGGTATCCGAAGAGAGCATCCCTTCCTGTGGCCCACACCCCACCTTGCTTATTTAAGCTGCCTGAGAAGCCAGACCTCTCCCCAGCCACCATCCCTCTGGGCCCTCCCTCTGAAGGTTTGGGCCCTCCTTGATCCACCTGGAAAGGCTGTGTCTCCCAGGCTGTCCTGTGCTGCCCGAGGCTTCTCCCTTCAAGAAGGCAGTCTGACAGTTTGGCATTCTGTGTGGTGAACTCTGCTTTGATTAACTCACATTCAGTTGATTCAGGGTCATAATGACATCTGCAGAATCCCTTCACCTTTGCCATATTCTATGATGTAGAAAGAGTCACAGGGCCCACCCTCACCCAAGGGCAGGGAATTGCGGCCTGAACACAGGGTGGGGAACCATGGGGCTCACCATACGGTTTGTCCACCAAACTGTTGTTCATTGTTCAGTCTCTAAATCATGGCCAGCTCTTCTCAACACCACTGACTGCAGCACACCAGGCTTCTCTGCCCTTCACCATCTCCCGGAGTTTGCTCAAATTCGTGTCCATTGAGTCACTGATGCTACCCAACCATCTCATCCTCTGTTGCCCCCTTCTCCTCCTGCCTACAATCTTTCCCAGCATTAGGGTCTTTTTCAATGTATCAGCTCTTCACATCAAGTGGCCAAAGTATTGAAGTTTCAGCTTAGCATCAGTCCTTCCAATGAGTATTCGGGGTTGATTTCCTTTAGGATTGACTGGTTTGATCTTCTTGCTGTCCAAGGAACTCTCAAGAGTCTTCTCTAGCACCAAAATTCGAAAGCATCAATTCTTTGGTGCTCAGCCTTCTTTATGGTCTAGCTCTCACATCCATACATGACTACTGGAAAAACCACAAAATATAGCAAAGGTGAAGGGATTTTTGCAAGGGTCATTAAGATCCTATCAGATGAATTTGAGTTAATCAGTCAGTCAGTTCAGTCATTCAGTCATGTCTGACTCTTTGAGACCCCATGAACCACAGCACTCCTGTCCTCCCTGTCCATCACCAACTCTCGGAGTCCACCCAAACCCATGTCCTTTGAGTCAGTGATGCCATCCAACCATCTCATCCTCTGTCATCCCCTTCTCCTCCTTCCCTCAATCTTTCCCAGCATCAGGGTCTTTTCAAATGAGTCAACACTTCGCATCAGGTGGCCAAAGTATTGGAGTTTCACCTTCAACATCAGTCCTTCCAATGAACACCCAGGACTGATCTCCTTTAGGATGGACTGGTTGGATCTCCTTGCAGTCCAAGGGACTCTCAAGAGTCTTCTCCAACACCACAGTTCAAAAGCATCAATTCTTCGGCAGTCAGCTTTCTTTGTAGTCCAACTCTCACATCCATACATGACTACTGGAAAAACCATAACCTTGACTAGACGGACCAAAGCAGAGATTATTCTCTGTGGGCCTGGCTTCCCTTGTGGTTCAGCTGGTAAAGAATCCACCTGCAATGCGGGAGAGCTGGGTTTGATCCCTGGATTGGGAAGGTCCCCTGAAGAGGGAACGTCTACCCACTCCAGTATTGTGGCCTAGAGAATTCCGTGGACTGTATAGTCCATGGGGTCTCAAAAAGTCAGACACGACTGAGTGACTTTCACTGGCTAATCAGACGAAAGCCCTTAAAAGAGGGGCTGGATCCTTCCTGTGCTAAGAGCCTCTCCATCCCAGCTAGATGGAGTAAGTGACTGTGTTGAGCAGGATTCCCTGGCAAGGAACCACCAGCAGTTGCTGTGATCAGAGGTTGGCCCCCAGCTGACTGTCTGTAAGAGAACTGGGCCCCCATCCCACAATGGCCAGCAAGTGCATGAACTCAGAAACAGATTCTTCCCCTGTTGAGCCTCCGTATGAGAGCACTGCCCAGCTCTCACAGCATTATAGTCTTATGAGACTCTGAGCAAAGGATCCGGCTAAGCCACACCCAGATCCGTGAGATGAAATGATAAAGAAGTGTTGTTTCAAGTTGTTGAGTCTGTGCTGATATTTTTACACAACCATAGAAAACTAATACTGATAGGCAGGTGGGAGGGTTAGGATATCAGACTGGAGTACAGAAAAGGAGTGGGGTGTCTTGCCTTCTTGAGGGTCAGAGTCCTGATTTCAAGCCCCCATTGGGCCAGAATTGATGGCTGGACAGTGAGCCAGCTCTGGGCTGGGCTGGGGTGAAGACTCTCCCTGGGGCCTGGTTTTCAGGTTCCGCTGAAGCAAGCCTGCACAGAGAGGAAGAGTGTGGCCGTGGGTGCATGTGAGGGACACTTCCCTAGGGATGGGCCCTTGGCAGTGGCATCCTGGGGCCTGGTTGTACACTTTGGCTGAACTCAGCAGGAGCAGGGTCCCCATTAGCCAGGTCTGTGCGTATTGAATCTGCATAATGATTTTCAATAAAAACCCACCACTCACCTGGCTGGGGCTCAATCCCACCAGCAGCTCCCTCTTCTCCATACCCTCAGCACTTGACAGTCTCTGTCCTGGTGATTTTCACCAATCTCCCGGGTGTAAAACCACATCTCACTGTTTTAATTTGCATTTCTCTGACAACCAACCTCTTTGTGAACTTCTTAGTCATTTGGGTTTCCCTTCCTGTGAATTATCTTTTATATCCCTCAATTCCTTTCAGGAAAGGAATCCGCGAAAAATTTGCTTTTTTGCCCTTGGGGTTTGTAAGAGCCTGGAGCTGGGTACAAACCCAGGGGCAACTGCTTAGCACCACCACCCCCAGCCCCCTTATTCCCCGGCTCTGCCCAGCTCAGGCCACCAAGCCCTGAACCTCCTCCTCCAGCCCCAGGTCTGTGCCCCCGAGCCTGGGCCACATTCCAGGTAGAGCGTGGGTGTGGAATCAGGGTGTTTCTGCCCTAGATGAGGATCTGGAGAGATTAGAATAGAAACAGATCTGTAGCTGTCTCTCCTGCTTGGTCCACACCCTTTTTACTTGCTTTGGTTAAGCCAGAAAGGAGAGAGAGGAGGTCTGCTTCCCAGGCCTGGCCCCGGTCCTGTAACAAGAGCATTTTTATGCGATGGTGGGTGGATGACTAGGTACAGAATTTTCTCCTGTTTCGGGGACCCAGGCAGCTCGGAGAAGCAGGGAGAAAACATAAATGACCCCATTGAGACTGCAGGGCCAGTGGGGGTGCTTCCAAAGCAAACAATGGCCCTGTGTGTCTGGTTTCTCCTGAGGGCCGGAAGCCCCCCGGGGGTTGGCCCACTGATGAGTCACGCAGGATGCGACCTGCGCCAGCTTTGTTGTTCCAGAGGAGCCCTGGCCCCGCCTGAGACGGCAGATGATGTCATGGAGGAAGATCACATTCTGGGGAAGCCCTGTTGCTGGACAGTCCCTGGAAGCTCGCCGCCCACTAATGGCCCTGAGCCCAGGTCCCTGGCCTTGAGGGGTTCCTGAGGTGGGGGTGGGTGCTGAGCTGAGGGAGCCAGCCAGCACCCTGTGCTCACAGAGCCCAGGGAAAGCCCCACTTGGTTCTGTCCGAGGCACATGTTTGGGGCTGCCCAGACTCAGCTGTGTCCTGTAGGGTTTCCTGGACTCAAGATAAGGTCCAGACAGATGCGTTAGGAACATCCCATTTATGGCTGACCTGGGCCCGGCAGGAAGCCCCAGGCTGGGGTGGTCACCAAACCTGGCTTAGCCTGCGAGGGAACAAGGCCCGGACTTTCCACATGGCTGAATTCGACAGAGATTTCCAAAACAAAAAGCCATGTGAGACTTAGGCCATTTCAGTGATTGGAACTTTGATGTTGTTGTTTAAAGTACACCCCACTAGTCGGTAGAAAGTCTGGCTCCAGGGTCACACATTCACACGCCCACTGACTGTGTGGCCTGGCGGGAGTTACTCTACCTTTATGAGCCTCAGAGGGGATGGAGCCCCACCTCCTCAGGTGGGGATGGTGGTACAGCCTGTAGGCTATAGAGGGCACACCTGAGTTTACCTGGCCCAGCCCCCTGGCTCATGGCCGCCCTCAGAGATATGGTATCCTTTCTAACCTTCATTTCCTCACAGCCTTGAAGAGGCTTGATATTCTGGTTGGGTTCCTCTTCTGGTTCACTTCCCAGAGGCTCAGGGCCTCAACGGGTTCCCTGGGACACTCACCGCTTCTCTCCAGGCGCAGGTGGTGGGTGGCACCTGCCAGAGGCTCCAGGGAAAGAACCGCCCCAGCCAGTCCAAAGCCCAAGAATGGTGTCATTGCGGGTTCCACATCTGGCTGGTTACCATGGTGAGCGATTGCTCAGAGCCCAGCCCAGAGAGAAACGCCGTGGGGATGGGAAGTCCAGGCCTGCAGAGCCCAGGGGAGAGGTGTGCGAAGCCCAGGAACCACGGAGACCGAGGCCCCTCTGCACCTGTCTTGCCTCTGGGGGCAGCCCCGGAGCCGCCGAGGGGCCACAGGTGGGACCCCAGGCCCTGGGCACCAGGAGCAGTTCTCAGTGGGCCGCCTCCGCCTCGGCCCTACCCTGCCGTCCCCGACGCGGGAGCACTGCACCTGGGCCTGTTTCCTGTGCCCCTGGCCAGGGACCAGCAAGTTACCTAACGGGAAGTGACACGGCCCTGGCTGTTCCGGGTCAGAGGCTCCCAGCCTGGTGGATCATCATGAGGAACAGGACACGTTACCATGGCTCTTCAAACTGATGATCGCCTCCGGCCACAAAAACACCCACCTCGTGAGGGGAGCTGAAGAGTCACACTGGAGACGTTTGAAGAGAGAGGCCCTGTTGGTGGTTCTGACATGTTCAGCATGAATGTCACTGGCCTGTGTTACACCCTCTTCAGCCCCAGTGCTGGGGACTGTTGCTTTGACAAGACCCATCTCACTGCCCTCTTCTACTTGCATGCTCTAAGGTCAAAAAGGAGGGTCTGAAACCAGGTTCCATACAGGCCTTAGTCAACCTCCATCTCCCGCCCGCCTCTACCTCTCCATCTACCCGCCTGCCATGGAGAGGCACTCTGACACTTCCAGGGGGCCCTCCTTCAGCCTGAAGAGCCTTCCTCCCCAGGCCTCCTCTGTCCGTAGGTGCTGTATTAAAACCACTGATAGGGGAATTCCCCGGTGGTCCAGAGGTTAGGACTCGGCACTTTCACTGCCGAGCGCCTGGGTTCAATCCCCAGTCAGGGAACTAAGATCCGATAAGTTGTGTGGCATGACCAAATAATAATAATAGTAAAACTGCTGATATGTTACAGGGAATATGCAAGGAGATGAGAAGACTACACAGATGAGAACTTCTCTTAGGGTGAGCCCTGCCTGTGGCTCGAAGGAAGCCTTGGACAAGACGCTTGGGGAAGCCCCCATGAATCATGCTTGGCCCCGGCAGATGGCGGGGGGAGATTCCTCAGGCCTCTCCGAGTGCTCTGCTTCCTTTCTTCCTTCCTCCCACTCAGCTCTCAACCCCTCCCCCCTACACACATATTGAACCAATATTAAAAAAACATCAATTTACAGTGTCCCCAATTCTTCATTTCCCCGGAGGCCCTATCCTTAGCCACACTGGGCCACCCATGTCCCAGTGGAGGCCCAAGGCCTTATCACCCTGCAGACCCCTTCAGCAGCTCTTTCCTTCCAAAAGATGAGTGTACAACAACTCTAAAGGAATGCTGCTTTTGTTCCTTCTCTAATACTTATCGCAGCTCTTGGCACACAGTGTGTGCTCCAGAATGATTATGGATGACCGCAGGGCCTCTCACCTGGGTTGGCAGTGGGCACTTTGTGACACCCTCGATTGGCAGAGAGGGCACCCCCTTAGGCGAGCATTTAGGGGAAGAACATGTGCGATGACCTCAGGGGTCTCACACCGGGCTGACACCCTCTCCTGTACCAGATGTGTTCCCCTTTCTGAGATCCCTGTTCCTGTTGGGCCCCAGTGCCTTCTCAGCCCAGCTCAGTCCCCTTGGAGTCGGTCAGCAAACCTGCCTCATCCCATCTGCGATTTGTGGGGTTCCTGCCCTCTCTGCTCAGGAGACCCTGCCCTCCCTGCAGCCTCATCCTGTCAGCCAGCCCCACGAACAGTCAGGACAGCAGTCCTCAGGCCCAGCTTTCTTCCAGATGCCACTCCACCTTCAGAAGCAGCCCCAGACCCCCTCCTAGCCCCTGCCAGCCACTTGCAGTCCCATTTTGCCCATCTGGCCTCCCTGACTCCCTCATGCTGAGCCTCTCTGTGGCCCCAACCCCCTCCCAGCTCAATTCCACATCTGGGCCTCCTCAGTGGACTCTCTGCCTGTGCGATGTTCTCTCCTCCCCTCCTGCCTGGCCCTCTGAATCTCTGCCACCTCCACAGCCTGGCTCAGCTCTCAGCCACCCCCATGTTACCTTCTCTGGTCAACATAGCCTCCATGATTTTGCCCTTGTTTGTATTCCTATGGGTTTCCTTAGGGTCTTTAGGGCCGTGGTCTAACTCATGTCACTGTGAGCACCTCCCGTAGGCAGCACTCTCGTTTGTCTAAATGGGCCCCCACAGTCAGACTGCCCACAGCCTGGCTGGACATGGACTCTGGGGGTAGCATTCTCTGGCATTGGTGTTGCACAGGTCTGGGACCTTTGGGGACACTTGCATGATACATGAGTCCAGGCCTGGCCTTCCTCAGGACCGTCCAGATCTGGAGACAGAGCTTCAGGCCAAAGAGGGTGTCGAGAGACTGTGGACCCCGCACAAATCGGTGTAGGGAATTCCCAGGAGTCACCCGTTCTCTACATCCTGAGGGGAAAAGATTCATTGGTGGAAATTCCGACCCCAGGCTATGTTTTCCACTGGACAAAAGGATGTGACCGGGTGTTTTTTCGGTTAGAGAGCAGCTGTTTTACACAGAACAGAAACAGAAACTTCAGCCTGCATTGTCCTACTGGTGATAAGTTCTGCTTTTTGAAAGGCAGGAAAGGTCCGAGAAACTATTGACTCGGTGATGGGGCCAATCTCCATTCAAGTGTAGAATAGAAACTGCCTGGATTATGACGTGTGCCCTGGGCTCATACCACCCTTATGGCAGAAAGTGGAGAAGAACTAGAGAGCCTCTTGATGAAAGTGAAAGAGGAGAGTGAAAAAGTTGGCTTAAAGCTCAACATTCAGAAAACTAAGATCATGGCATCCAGTCCCATCACTTCATGGCAAATAGATGGGGAAACAGTGGAAACAGTAGCTGACTTTATTTTTCTGGGCTCCAAAATCAATGCAGATGGTGACTGCAGCCATGAAATTAAAAGATGCTTACTTGGAAGGAAAGTTATGACCAACCTAGACAGCATATTAAAAAGCAGAGACATTACTTTGTCAACAAAGGTCCATCTAGTCAAGGCTATGGTTTTTCCAGTAGTCATGTATGGATGGGAGAGTTGGACTATAAAGAAAGCTGAGTGCCGAAGAATTGATGCTTTTGAACTGTGGTGTTGGAGAAGACTCTTGAGAGTCCCTTGGACTGCACGGAGATCCAACAAGTCCATCAGTCCTGGGTGTTCATTGGAAGGACTGATGTTGAAGCTGAAACTCCAATACTTTGGCCACCTCATGTAAAGAGTTGACTCATTTGAAAAGACCCTGATGCTGGGAGGGATTGAGGGCAGGAGGAGAAGGGGATGACAGAGGATGAGATTGTTGGATGGCATCACTGACTCAATGGACATGGGTTTGGGTGGACTCCGAGAGTTGGTGATGGACAGGGAGGCCTGGAGTGCTGCGGTTCATGGTCGCAAAAAGTTGGACACGACTGAGGGACTGAACTGAACTGAACTGAACTGGGCTCACACTGAGGACACTGTTCAAGCCTCCCTCTCCTGCAGAATATCTGGGAAGGGCAATAATTGTTGGTGCCCATTATGCTCCGGGCACTTGACAACATGACAAAGTTGTATCCCCACTTTAGAGACAAGGTCATAAAGACTTGAGAAGTCTTATGATAAGACTTCTTATCTTGAGAAGATACACTTGAGAAGTATCAGAGTCTCTAGAAATAGGCCTGGGGCCCATATGAAGCATGGAAAGTGGGATGCCTGTGTGTGATACAGCAGCAGGGGGGTCTGCATTGGGAGGCCTTCCTGGAGGAGGTGAGGCTCTGGCTGGTTCTCTGAGACAGAAGAAGAGGTGAGGAAGCAGCAGAGTCCAGTGGAAGGAAAAACATGAGCAAAGATGGAGGGAGAGAAGCCTGGCCAGAAAGAAGATGGGAAAGGATGGGTTTCAGTCCCCTCCCAAGCAGCTCCTCAGGAATTCTTGGGCATCCCTTTTTGGAAACAGTTATCTATCAGAGCAGCCTCTCCTTGGGCCTGGGTATCAGGGGCCTAACAGCCGCTCACACCTTAAATTAAATCCTCAGCTGCTCCTCTGCACCCTGAGTGGGGAGGGCTTGAGGGAGGAGGTGGCATTCAGGATACAGAGGAGTCACGGACCAAGGCTCCATGTGGAAGAACAAGGGCCTGCTGGCTCCAGGACTGTGGACAAATCAAGCGGGTATCTGGAAGCTCAGGTCTGAAGAGCAGAAGAGGGAGGAGGCACACCTTGGGTTTTTACCCCGTGCACCGCTCCTCACCTGGCGCTAGCATGGGGCCTCCAGGGATGCTGAAATAGGTTCTCACGACTTTTGGGGAACTTCGAGGTGGGAGCAGAGTGTGGCTGAGGAGCTGGGGAGCCTGTGTGTGGAAGCCATTCAGCATCCGGATGTTAGAGCCGGAGGAGGAAGAGAAGGGGTGACCTCTTGGCGTTTCTGCCTTTCAGCCAGCTGATGGATCAGATCGGCCCACGAGGCTCTGAACTTGGGCCCGCAGCTGTGGGGCTGACACGGGAGTGTCCCTGGGCTTCCAACCCCCAGCATAGCCTCTCCAGGCTGCAGGACTGAGCTGAGTAAACATCCCTGCAGACCCCTTATCCTTGGAATGTGCCCTCAGCTCCATAAATGCATCCCCTGGGAGTGTGAATAGCTGCAGAACCAACCCCCAGAACTCATTGTTCTGGAAGTTCCAGAAAAACCAAAACAAACTCCCAACAATATGGGGGTGGGGAGGGAATGTGGAAAGGGCCCGCTGGGCCTTTGTCCTTAGGCATGTAGACGTTTACATTTTCCACATTAATGAGCTGGGAGATAGCTCCTTTTATGCCAGTAATAACAGCCACCAACCCCTCCACATTCTCATTTCACTCTGGCCAAAACCCAAGCAAGGCCAGCTTGAGCCGAACATCCCGTTTCAGAGATGAGGGGATCAAGATTCCAAGGGACCCCGGGACTTCACCAGGGTTAGTAAACACTGGAACTGGGACTTGAACCAATGTCCCAGCTTCTTTCCAGTCCACCTTGTGGGGACCAGGGACAGCACTGACTAAAGGGTCTTGCCTGATTCCCTTGAGCTTCCCAGTGTGGAATACACTGAATTAGGAAGGAGATTCTTTTGTGAGGTGACCAGGAGGCCTGCCCTGCCAGACACAAGTACCTGTCCTCAAGTACCACTACGTGAAGGCAAGAGCCAGCTGAAGGGAGCTGGCCAGGCCATCATCCTCCATGAACCCAGGTTGGCCATGCTCCCTCTAAGTAGCCACACATTTCTCAGCTGGGCA